GAGGGCTGGTTGCTCTGGGATGTCATTGCTTCTAGGCTCTCTCATTGGACAGTGTGTAGTAACCCATATAGAAGCATCCCTCTAAAACGTAAGTTTACACGGATACTTCGGATGCTTTCTGGCACCACATGGTTCATTCTAGCCTTACTTTTCTGCTTGTGCATAAATTCTTTAACAGTGAGAATCCTGGCTCCCATTATCTACAATTTATTTACTGTTTTGTTCAATTCAAGCATGGAAGGCAGTTCCAGAATTGCTAACTCATATCCCTGTGAACAATATACAAATCAGAGTACCATTTTATGTTCACTCCTTTTACTCTCTAGCTTTAGAGTTTCCAGTCAAAACACAATTTTTAAAAGTTACTTAGGTCGACTTATTTTCTATTCATCTCTGTCAGTAAAATTTCTTCATACATTAGTAATACAGTTAGATTCATTTGTCACAGTCCACATTCCATTCTAGGGTCTCCTGACATCCTGGTTGATTTTTTAAATTTTGCATGTAGTAAGTCCAGTTATCGTGGTGTGTTGTTTTTAAGGTTTTGTGGAGTCATTCATCTACCACCACAGGACCATATGGAACATTTCCATTACCCCCAAATTCCCTTGTGGGGTCCCTTTGTACTCAACCCTTCTTCTCAACTCTTGGCATCCACGGATCTATTTTCCACCCCTATAGTTCTGCTTTCTCTAGAATGTCGTATGAACAGAATTATACAATATGTAGTCTTTTTGGTTGGGCTTCTTTCATTTAACAAAATGCTTTTAAAATGTATTCGTGTTCATCCACGAATCAGCAGGTCCTTTTTGTTGCTGAGTAGGATTCAGTTGTATGCATGTACCAGTTTGTTTATCTCTTCACCTGTTGACAGATGTCTTAGTTGTTTCCAGTTTTAGTGATTATGAATAAAGTTGCTATAAACATTTGTGTGCACATTTCTGTGAGCACAAGCTTTCAATTCATCTGGATAAATATGTAGGATTGGAACTGACTGCTGCTTGTTATGTTATCTCTGTATTTAACATTTTGGGAATGCCAAACTGGTTTCCACAGTGGCCCTGCCATTGTACATTCCTTCCAGCAATGAACAAACATTCCTATTGCTCTGCATCTTCTCCAGAATTTGATATTGCTGTTTTTTAAAGCTGTTTTAATAGGTGTTGTGGCAGTATATATTTGTGGGGTTTTTTTCTATGCTTATTTGCCATCTATTTTTTTGTGTATGTCTATTCAGATGTTTTGCCCAATTTTTCTTTTCTTCTGTTGCTGAGTTTTGATTCTTTATAAATTGTAGATACAAGTCTTTTATTAGGCATATGATTATCTCCCAGTCTCTGGCTTGTGCTTTCATTTTCTTCATACTATCTTTCATAGAACAAAAGTTTTAAACTTGCATAAAATTTGATTTATCAATTTTTTTTTTCTTTATGGTTTGGGCTTTTGATCTCATATCCAAAAACTCTTTGCAAAACCTAAGACCATTTCCCTTTGGGCAATGGGCAGATTTCCCTTTGTCCCCTTCTAAATGTTTTTAGTTTCATATTGTATTTTATTTTTTTTTTAAGATTTTATTTATTTATTTGACAGAGAGAGACACAGCAAGAGAGGGAACACAAGCAGGGAGAGTGGGAGAGGGAGAAGCAGGCGTCCCACGGAGCAGGGAGCCCGATGGCGGGGCTCGATCCCAGGACCCTGGGATCATGACCTGAGCCGAAGGCAATGCTTAATGAATGAGCCACCCAGGTGCCCCAGTTTCATATTTTAGACTTAGGTCTATCAGTCCATTTGAAGTTAGTTTTTACATGCTGCATGAGGTATATGCCAAGATTATTTCTATATATGAATATCCCTTTGTTTCAGCATCATTTGTTGAAAAGACTATCCCTTCTCCACTGATTGCCTTTTGCACCTTTGCCAACAATCAGTTGACTATATTTGTGTTGGTCTATTTCCGGACCTCTTTTCTGTTCCATTGATCTACATGTCTATCCTTTTTCCAGTCCCACAGTGTCTTGATTACTGCAGCTTGGGATTGATAGTAAATCTTGAATTTACATAGTTCAAGTTCACCAATTTTTTTGCTCTTTTTCAATTGTTTTGACTGCTCTCATTCCTTTGATTTTCAGTATAAATGTTAGAATTAGCTATTGATGTATATTTTAAAAAGCTTGCTGAGATTTTGATTGAGATTGCACTGAATCTGTAGATGAAATTGGGGAGAGTTTATTTAAATGATTTTTAAAAATTTCTTTCAGCCATATTTTATAGTTTTCAGAATATAGCTCCTATTCATATTTTGTTAGATTTATACATAAGCACCACATTTTTTGTGATATTGTTAATGGCATTGTTTCAATTTAAAATTCTAGTTATTCATTGCTGATGTGTAGATATATCATTGACCTTTGTATTTTGAGTCTATATCCCAAAACTTTGCTTAACTCACCTTTTAATTCTACAAGATTCTACACAATCATGTCATCTGCAAATAGAGACAATTTTATTTTTTCTTTTGCCAACTGTTTGTCTATTGTTTCTTTTCTTTTTTTGTTCCTTATTCTTCTGACAAGGACATCCAGTACAATGTTGAATAACAGTTTTAAGAGAGGACAAAATTGCCTTGTCATTTCTTACTATTAAGTGTGATGCTTGTTGTAGGCTTTTTGTAAATGCCTATTATATTAGGCTTAGAAAGTTCTCATCTAATCCTAGTTTTTATCATGAATGTATATTGAATTTTGTTTAGTGCTTTTTCCACATGTATTAAGATGATCGTATGTTTTTTCTTGTTAATTTAAACATATATAAATTATATTGATTGATTTTCAAATAACAAATCAGCTTTGCATTCCTTGGATGAAATCCACTTGGTTATGTATGATGTATTACTATTTCTTATAGATTGCTGGATTTATTTTGTTAGTATTTTTTAGGAGTTTTGTAAGTATGTCCATAAATGATATTGGCCTTTTTTAAATAACATCTTCATCTGATTTGGGTATTAGGGTAATACTAACCTTATGAAATTAGTTATTTTCTCTCCTTTTCTATTTTCAGTAAGAGATTTTCAGTAAGAGATGCAGTAAGATCATGTTTTATTTCTTCCTTAACTGTTTGGTGGAATTTATCAGTGAAACCATGTGAGCTTGGATCTTTTTTTTTTTTTTAGAAGTATGTGTGTGTATTTGTGTGTGTGTATGAATTTGGTATCTTTTATATATTTGGAACTATTAATATTACCTACTCTGCCCTCAGTTTGGATAGTTTGTGTCTTTCAAGAGATTCATCCATTTCCTTTAAGTTGCTAAATTTATTGGCATAAAATTATTTGTAATGTTCCCTTACTACCTTTTGCTATCGGTAGGATCCATCAGTAAGGTTAGCCCCTCTTATTCCTGACATGATAATTTGTGACTTCTTTCTTTTTGGTCAGTTTTGACTAGAGATTTATCAATTTTATTAATCTTTTCAAAGAAGCAGCTTTTGATTTTACTGATTTTTCTCTCTTATTTTTTCTGATTTCAGTTTCATTGATTTTTGCTCTTTTCTTATGTCTCTCTGCTTTTTTTGGGAGGGTGGTTAGTTAGCTCTCTTTCCCGCTTATTTCTTAAATAGAGGCTTAGGTTGCTATTTTGACTGTCTCCTCTTTTCTAACATAAGCATTTGATGATTACATATTTCCTGCTAAACACCACTTTAGTTATAATCTATACATTTTGTATGTTCCACTTTCATTTTCCTTTAGTTTCAAATATTTTAGAATTTCCCTTGACACTTCCTCTTTGACCCACAGGTTATATAGAAGTGTGTTTTCAAAATTTCCAAGTGTTATTGATTTCTAGTTTGATTCTGTTAGGCCTGATGACATAGTTTGTACAATTTCTATGCTTTTAAATTTGTTGTTACTTTTTTTTTTTTTAATGGTCCAGAGTATGGTCTGGCTTAATGAATGTTCCATTTATATTTGAAAAGAATGTGTACTGTTCTGTTGTCCTGTGGATTGTTCTACAAATGTCAATTAGGTCAAGTTGGTTGATAGTGTTATTGAAACTCTATATTTTGAAAAAGGACCATCAGTGATTTTATACACACTGAAAATTAAGAGCCACTTACAGAGAGCTAACACTGATTGCGACAAAAGTGTAATGAAGCTCAACTTCGGATTAGAGTTCATATTTTTCTGTTTGTGGAAGCCTAGTACCATTTACGCAGCTGTCCATGCTCGAGGTGTAAGCTTGAAAATAGCTATCTCCCCAGCACAAGAACCAAGTTTATCCTCTTGTCTTGGCCTCTAGGTCTTCTGCCCATTGGATGGCCTTCACCTATACCAGCCTTTCTTAAAGTGTGTTTTATAAACTACTAGATCCAGGAACTACTACTAAGCAAGAGGTGGGGTAGTGAGGAGTGTATCAATTGCCTAGTAAACTGCTGCATGTTTCCCTGTCTTGAAATTCATAATGACAATTAATATCATCATAGCTCTGAGAAATCAGGAGTCAACAAATCTATTTTTTCTATTTAATCCCCTTAACTTCTAACAAAAATACATGTTATTAACTACCTTTTAAAGTTTTAGGATATATAGGATAACATACATAAAACACATATTTGAGGGTTGGGCACATAGTATGTGGTCACTAAAAGTTTGTTGCTATAATTTGCAGTCATTGGTGTTCTTGTTGTTGTTTTATTTTTAGATTATTCCATTGGCTCTGACCTTTAAAAGTTGGGATGGATATGAAGGTGAAAAAAGTCCTGGGAACGCAAACACCAGAAAAGCCACAGAAATTAACCTGAGTTTTAGGTGTTTCAGTACATTTTTTACTGAAGTATATTGATTACAGTTTTCTTGTGGTATATTGCATTCATTTTAAAGACCTTCCCCCACCCAGTTTGTCAACCTAAATCTACCTCCCCAGGTTCGATATCATTGGTGTTCCTGGGCATCATTAGCCATTTATAAGTGCAGTACTAAGAAAATCAGGCTGTGCAATGTCATGGAAGGTGCACCAAGTTATGAACAACAGGTCAGGACTTAGCATGACGTCTTAAGCCTTCCTCATTCAGCAATATCACCAAGGAAGTGCTGTGCACTCAGACTTCAAAATTCCCTCCTGCCCAGCTACTCACCCTGGTTCCTTTGGTATCTCTGAGGGAACTTTATTGACACTCTGCTTTCTTTTCTTAAACAGGTGGGCTCTGCATTGCGCAGTCCGTGAGAATCCCCCAAGAGCGCAAAGACAGAACCATTGACTTTGATAGAATTATCAAACAGCTCCTGGACACCCCCAACTCCAGGGCCGTCGTGATTTTTGCCAACGATGAGGATATAAAGTAAGGATGACTGGTGAAATTCATTAATATGCATGCTGCAACTTTAGGAGACAGAAAGATCAGGATACTGGCAGAGAAAGGGGAAAAGATAGCACAGAAGCAAATCTGCAATTACATAGTGGCCAAGTCTGTCCGTGCTTTCTCCCCTACACGAGTAGTTATAGCGAACCATGGGAGCAGCAGTGTGTTGCCATCATGTCTTCCTCCTCTATTAGCAAAATAAATGTATTTAATTACTTGTAAAAAGAGAAAACCACTAGACCTTTCAAAGGTTCTTTTATTAAAGATATATCCAAATGTAACAGACTTTTGTCCAAAGAATGGTTCCTCTTAATGTAAAAGAAAAAACATGTCATATAATTCTGGCTGTATTGCTACTGCTTTAGACTCCGTATGTTCCAAACCAAGCCAGTCTACCAGTATGTCTCTAAGCCATTTCTTCCTCTCTTTTCCTACCTTGATCCTCCTTGGAGTCAAAAATCCAATTGGAATCTTGACTTCCCATTTTTCCTCACTTCTTGCATTCTTGGCCAAGTCATGTAGAGTTAACCTTTGTTTCTAGAACATAACATGCCCAGAATGTGTTTCTAAGACAGAAATGTGCCCTGATTTCTTCTCAGCCCACTACCACCTTGTTCCAGAATATTTATTACTTAAAATAAACAGTAATTACACCTGCTTTTTTAAAACTATTTAAAAAAATCTGGGTTATAAAAAAAAAGTTCCATTCATCCTGCCCTTCGCTAACAAGGTCTCCTCTTTAGATGCAATGCCTAATGACCTGTTTCTTGTATATTCTTCTAGAGACAGTCGGCATCTCTTTGCACAATGGTGGCATGCTGTGTGTACATCTTGTTCTCTTCGCCGCTAGCCTTTACTTGCTATTTTATCATGGATGTCTATGACTGTCAGAACCTATCTCTTCAGTCTTTTTAATAGCTGTGCAGAATTTCATTTTACATCCATGCTGTCATTTATCTAAATGCTCCCTTATTGGTTGACATTTGATTACTGACTTTTGCAATCATAAATAACACTGTAGTAAACTTCCTTTTCCACAAATCTGTGCACACAAATATAAATATACAAATATATCATATTAATATAAACATATTTTGAGAGTTGGATATATAATATTAATATAACACAATTATATAATAATATGCAATTATATTGTTTTATATATTTATCTTTTGTGTTTTTAACATAAATTCCTGGAAAAGATGTTTCCAGGACAAGCTGTGTCCCAATATGATTATTGTTTTCCAAAGAGGCTGTGCTGGTTTATATGTCCACTGATGTGAAAGAGCTGTATGGGATTATTCAGTCTTTGTCTTAGATAAAATATATCACTTAATTTGAAGGTGGGTATCCTTTATTAAGAGAAAGTTTAAGGGCCCAGGCCATTATTGCATCGTGCTTGGATTACTGCACTGTCCTCATCACGAGCCTTGCAGTTCTGTGTCTCTTCCCTCCATGTGCACCCTAAATGCTGCCCCTGGATCCATCCATCATTTTCCCAGTATTCAGCCCTGATCACGGGTAGCAGGACTATTCAATGGAAAGCGAATGAAACCTGACATTGAGCTACAAGAGGTGTTTTGCTAATGACCACTGTGTCACTTTGGGAAGTTGCCCACTGTCACCCCCTTCCTGCTTCCCAACTTCTGAGGCCTCAGTTCTCTCATCAGTAAGATGAAAATCCTTTCTGAGCTCTTTTTGTGGTTCTCCAGCCTTGTCCTACCATTCTAATCTTATTTCACTCCCTGCTACTTCACGTTTTGTGTTTCCTCATTCCGTGGTCTTTGTGTGTTCTCTCGCATGCGCCTGTAAGGCTTTTCCTTCCTCGCTTTCTCTTAACAGTGCCATCTCTAGTGTGGCTTTCTGAGGGAAGCTGTCTCTACACAATGCAGCTTTGGCACATTCTTCATAGTTGATGTCACTGATGTTATTTTACATCACTTGATCATTTGATTAGTGTCCACATTCTCCGCCAGTCCATAAGCATCTCTGGGGCAGAGGTGATGCCTCATTTGACTTCTTTCCGTATCCTCAGTCCCCATCACGGTGTTCAGTACAGAGAAATGCTCAAGGAACAGTGCCGAATAAATGAATGAGTAAAGTCAGTATGCTAATGCACTCTATATAAGAATTTAAATACAACTTCTCTGTCTGGATTTCACAGTGCTTTAAAATGTGTTCCTAATTTGACATTTAGACCCCACCCCCACTCACCCACTTCCACACCAGAATACATGGCTCTGGTCCTCCACAGTCCTGATTGCTCTTCCTCATGGCCGTTATTCATAGTGGTTTTTTCTCTCCTTCTCTACTTATTGAAATTATCTGTTTTTCAAAGTCTATCTCGAACATGCACTTCTCCATGAAACTGTTTCTGGTCACCCCTTAAATGTATTATTTCTCTCCTTTAAATTCTCGAGTGTTGCTCTTAGGGCATTTTTCTTCTACAGTTTGTGTTATAGTTGTTTAAAAGATTTTGTTTTCATAATATTACTCTTGGGGTTTGTTTGTTGTTTTGGCTTAATACCTTGATAAGGTGTGGCTTTGTGTTTATTTCTTTTTTTTTTTTTTTAAGATTTTATTTACTTATTTATAGGACAGAAAGAGACACAGCGAGAGAGGGAACACAAGCAGGGGAAGTGGGAGAGGGAGAAGCAGGCTTCCTGCTGAGCAGGGAGCCCAATGTGGGGCTCGATCCCAGGACCCTGGGATCATGACCCGAGCCGAAGGCAGACGCTTAACGACTGAGCCACCCAGGCGCCCCTTTGTGTTTATTTCTAAATACACTGTACATGTCACATAAAAATTAGTGCAATAGCTCTGGTGACTAATTCATTATAATATGTAGGTAATGTCAGGTTTTAATTTGGGATGTAGAAATGCATGCAATCTGCTCAATAACCATGCTCATTCTTTTGCTTTGGGGTTTGTTTGTGTGCTGAATATTGTTGTATGCTGTGATTCATAGCAGTGATAGCAGAACTAGTTCTTGCGCACAGTCATAAAATTTAAGTGCATATGTGAGTTTCTTCCAAAACATGATCTTAAATACACCAATGTCTGAAAAGTATTGTTAACTCACGATGTTATGTTATTTCTTTTTTCAGAAGATTTACACTGTAAATGGGAAATTTTGAGATTTCTTAGAACATTAACTTCAAATACTTTGTCAGAGAATGGCAGTGAGGAGACAGTAATATCTAGATTTTAAAGCTAAAATAAATGCAAAGTAAGTCATGGATACTAATAATTTGGATTTTAGACAAGAGTGGATCCTTTTTCTGGAACACTTTATTCTGATTATAAAAATAATACATAACTACTGTATATCCACTGGAAATGGGAAAAGGTTTTTTTTTGTTGCTATTCTTTATTGAAAGGAGCCGTTAAGTTTACTTTGTCCCCTGGTTATCTAGAAAAAATAAAGGCTAAATAATTTCCTATAAAATTTGCAATCCCCATACTCAGAGATAACATAAAATTCTGGGTTAATGTTTGCCAGCATTTTTTTCCAGACATTCATAGATTTCCCCAAAGGAATCTCCTGCTTTTTATCTTCCACTTTTTGTAATTCGCATGTCACTTTTGATGCCATAAGTATTTTTAAATGGTTTAATCTTATTTATCATAGTCCATAAACCCACACTTTTCCATTTATATTAAAGTGAACATCTACTTTTTGGATTTATGTAGTTTTGTCTTTTCTCCCCTGTTTTATTTGGCTTCTGCCCACCTTTGTAACCTCTTCAGTCTCTGCAGTGCCTTCTAGGTGGATTATTAGGTTAGCAATACGTTGTGTATTATCATTATTTTTGTGTGCTCTCAGATGGCCCTATACTCCTACCTGTGTGTATATACACACGTACAAGCAACATCTAGGCAGCTCTTCTTATATACAAGTTGAATAATCTTTTGCAGTTTTTTTAATTGATTTTTCTTTTTAACGAGCACTTGTGGAAATCTAACTCAGTATATTCTGATTGCTTTCCAATCCATCCTCACTGTCATTTGTTCAGACAGATTCCTGCTGCTCTGAATTGAGGTTGTCTGCAGTAATGAGCGTATGTTTTTGACAGCGTATTTGGTCATTTCCTTTGGATTGATTAGTAGAAATTGTATCTCTAGGTCAAGGGTACAAATAATTGATTGCATTTATTTTATTAAAATAATAAATGCACATATTAAAAAAATTAAAATATGACTGAAAACACTTTGATGCAAGGAGCGGTGTCCTGTCCTGTCCCTTCAGACTTCAGACCTTTGGTGGACTGATCAGACATCCAAATTTCCATTCCATTAGAGGGTCTCTCTATGTCAGTATATGCAATTCTTTTCTAGGGTGGTCCAGGTTTTTCCAGAAAAGCTATTGTCTACCTGGGGTGGCACTCCCTTAGCTTCTAGCATTCTGTCAGCAGAAGTGTAGATTTCCTAGAGGGTCTTACCATTTCAATACTTAGTGGTAAATTTAACTTACCTTCCTCCCCCTCATGTTTAACTCACCATCTCTCACTCATAACCTTCTGGTTTTTGGATGTTTACAATATCAGAACCTATTACTTAAAATTTTATTAGTAAATTGCCATTCCATTTTCTGCCTGGAAGAAAAAGAAGGAAACCTGAGGTTTTGCTTTTTATATATACAACCTTTCAACCAATTCTCCTTTATCTGGCCATGTACCTATGTGATACTTAGTACCTCCAAGTCTTGAGAAACAAAGAGCTTTGTTTCTATAACCCACCAAAAGAGCTTTAGTTGTAGCTTCCTCTGTTCTACAAATGCAGTTACCTATTATCTACCTCTTATTTCAAAAATATATTTTAATAACTTTACTATGAATGATTAGTTTTCCTTTTGTTTTACTTGCCTTGGTGCTCTTGTTATTTATGAACATGGGCTATAAAATTTTCAAGTATAACATACTTGTTCATTTTAATAATTCTAGACCCTTAATTTAGATTGACGTGTTGCTTTCCAGAAATTATACATACCACCAGCAGTGAATGGGAGCATTCATTTCTCTTGCCCCACAACCAAACTCACAAACCAAACCAAAACAAAACAAATCTTTTGGCCAACATGAAAAGCAAATGTGATATCTTCCCCTAATTTATATTTTCCTCCTTTCTAATCTGTATGAATATGTATCTCCAGCTTACTGGTTATTTATATTTCTCCTTTTTTCTTTTGACTTTTGATGTTTCTTGCCAATTTTCCTCAAGCTGCTTTGATAGTTTTTCTTAGTGGTTTATAAAATCTCTTTATATATGCAGGGTATAGATCCTGTCACATAACTTTTTTTTTTTTTTTTTTTTTTTTTTTTGCCATTGATTACTTACTTTCTGAGAACTGGTATCTTGCTTTCCTTCTGCTTCATTCCTAATATGTATATGTTCAGCAGCTACTTCTTAACATTAATATAACTTTTCATGTTCTTTTTCACAGGCAAATCCTTGCAGCAGCCAAAAGAGCTGACCAAGTGGGCCATTTTCTTTGGGTAGGATCAGATAGCTGGGGATCCAAAATCAACCCACTGCACCAGCATGAAGATATTGCAGAAGGAGCCATCACTATTCAGCCCAAGCGAGCAACTGTAGAAGGTAGGGGTTTTATCAGTTGTAAAATACACTGAGAGAGTGGTTTGTGCTGTGCAGGATGGCTAAATCATGGATCTCTTTGAGGGTTTGGTGTTTTTATGTAATTTGTGCAGTATAATTTCAAACGTGTAGCCATGAAATGCAAATTTGGCCATATATCTGGTCTGTTCTTTTAGTTGATATTCCTCTTTTGAAGAGATCATGTATTTTCATGATAATTAGCATATTTTTTTCACCAGAGCTTTCCTAGAGAAGAGCATTACCATTAATAAGTGAAATAATAACACAATCCAAGTGTACTTAAGTGAACTGCATTTTCTGAGAGAATATTTTCCCTTTGCAATTTATCCATTACTTCTATAGCAGAATAACTACAGGGCTTCTTGCCCTCCTTACCTTGTGGGGTTTCTTCCAGCCCCCACGATGGCGCAACACACCACCTCTCTTGGGTACCAACACTACCTTGCCTTCTTGGGTCTCTTTTGTTCTTGCTCTCTTTCTCTTTATCTTACCTTCCTAAATCACTGCCCCCTTTCTTGTCCTTTGCCTCCCTTGCTGCTTCAAAGATTCTTTTAGAGGAAGAAGGAAGAGAGGGCTTTTATTGGCATCTTTCTGATATAACGAAAGTTGCTGATTACAATTTACGTTCTTTAATTTGAAAAGAAAAGTTATTTCTAAAAGAAGATACTGTAAAGAAAAGGAACTCCTCCGCTGGTATCCTCCTTTGTGTTTCTTTTCTGATGGGGCAGGTCTCCAAAGATTCCCTAAAACATGCTTGCTTTGCACATTAAAAAAGCCTCTATCCTCTCACTCAAAAGGGGATCAAATATTTGCATGTCTTTCCATTCTGTCTCCACTCCAATATAATTAATTATTTTCCCCCAGAAGGCTGCATGGTCTGTGGAGACCTTTTTGAACAAGCCAGGTTGTGGTTCTGTCACTGTTGCCTTTCTATGTTATCTGGGGGAGATAAAGATCCCATGAGTCACCCATGTGTTTCTTGGGAGTCTTTGAATTCATTTCATTCCCCAGTACGTGTCCTGAGAAGATTGCTTATCTTACAACACAGACCAGTGCATTTGCAGATGGGTTGCAGAAATAAGACAACATTTTAACTATCTCCAATCCTTTTTACTCAAAATTTTGAGTATCCACTGTGTGTCTTGCTCTGTTCTAAAAGTTGAAAAAACAAGGTAAGGACAAAATTCTTACCTTCAAAGCATACAGAGCTGAGAGGAGGTGTCAAAAATAGCCAAGGACTAGGTCAAATGAGATACGGTGTAAGCACAGTATGGACTAGATACCACAGGGCACAAAGGAAAGACTGCAGAAGTTTATCTCAGGTGGTGAGGGTGTGGTTGGGGGATACTCCTGAGAGGAGGTAAAATCATGACTTGAAGTTCATCAGGCAGATGATGAGAAGAACATCTTGTACTACCAACCCAGGGGACGGGAAGAGAAGAGTGAAGGACACACTAGGGTAACAGTAAATAATTCATTCTGCAGAACAGTCCTGCATTATGGTTCTGAAATTCTTATATGTCTTTAAAAATGTTCCCATTTATAGCACATTGGGAGAACTCTATTCTCCCCCAGAATTCCAGTCATTACACCATTGGCCCGATTGACTCCTTTCTATCCTTTAGGTCTCTGCTCAGATGTTAATTTTCCTTGGAAGCTACATGTGACTATTCCACCCCAGCCAAGTTTGAGTTAGAAGCCCTTTCTATTGCTTCGGCAGCATCCTACACGATCCCTACCATTGTAGCACCTCTTTACTTGTCTCTGTCTGGAAGCAGATCTCTTATGCATCCCCTGCATTGTGCCCCCAGCACCTAGAACTTGGCCTGCATATGGCAGGCACTCAAACAGATTTTTAAATGGTTGGATGCTGGACTGGTTGGAGGAATCATAGACTACCTGAGGTCCTGGCACAAAATATGGTAGACAAATGGGCCTGAGTTGGATTATGAAGGGTCTTGAAATTACACTAAGGAACGTGTTCTTTATTCTGAAAGTTTGGGCAGCATCTGAAAAGTGAAATGTGATCAAAAGGGGTTAGAAAGTTCACTCAGGTGACTTTATGGAGAGGTGAAGTGTAGGAGTTGGGTGAGAGCCAAAGCAAGCAAGAAAGGACTGAGATCCTTTCTTCCTCAGCTATAGATGCCACATAGACATGGATGCCCATACTCCATGGTTACCAGCTCCAGTTTCATGATATTTATGGAAATTTCTAAGTATCTTGAAGTTTTTTATAAATTCTTGAAATAAAACTTTCCTGCTATGTATTTATGTATTTAGGGATGCACAGAATTCTTTTTCTTTCTTTTTTTTTCTTTTTGTTTCTTTCTTTCTTTCTTTTCTTTTCTTTCTTTTCTTTTCTTTCTTCTTTCTTTCTTTCTTTCTTTCTTTCTTTCTTTCTTTCTTTCTTTCTTTCTTTCGTTTTTGATACACAGAGTTCTTAAATCAGACACAAAACAGCATCCTAAATCTTGCAAAAAAAAATTCTCTATATATGGAATGTCCCAAACAATGAAATGAAAGATAAATATTGTTAACAACAGAAACATTGGAATGTGATGGAGCAGCAACTCTTTATATAAAACTCTCCATCCCTCACCAGATAGAAATGAGGATTTTTTGGTAGCCAGTGTGTGTAGCTTCTGTCTAACCATATTGTCTATGTGCATTGCTACAAAGAACAGCGTAGATTTGTTCACCTAGCAGATGAAACAGCAAGATTGTGGCTGTGCATTTACAGTGACACACTCCTGAGGAAGTGAAAAACGAAATGCATTCACTTGCAGTAAGGTTTCTGAACCAAGCTATGAAATACCACAAATGAAACTAAAAATTGAGCACATTCCGTATCGGCAAATAAGTTTTCCTTTCCTGTCTAATTTTTCTTTCCTTCTGATGAATGTTCCATATTGATTACTACTGCTGTAGAACACCCTCCAAATATTTATAACACTGCTATATCCCTGTATCTTTGTGTTTTATAATGCTGTATGTACAAATGTAAACAGGAAAAAGCCAGGCACTAATCAGCATGTTTCTTTTCTTTAGATTTATATTTTGAACATGTTCAGCAAAGATCTGAAGTTTTGGCTGGTCTTTTCTCTATCTGCATAAATAATTAACAATAAATTGCTTTAGGCCAAATTGCTAGCAAGCACATGGCCTCTGTGAAAGTAGTGCTCATCTTCTTTTATCTTTTATCTGTATTTATTCTCCATTTATAGAATAAAGGGCCTCCGTGTTTGCTAGCCAAGTGTGTTGTTCTTCCCCCTTTCAATTGGGTGATGATAGGAATTGTGCTCGGGAAAGGTCAGCTGTGGCCCCGATGGCTGCTCGGCGTTCGCAGGATATCTGGAGAATGTCTCCACAACTTGGCAGCTCTCCTCCAGCTCCTGAGCCAAAACACTTCTGTAATTTTCAGTTTGTCTGAATTGTCTGATGAGCCAAGGGATCCCTGGCATGTTCCTCTCTTCTGTTGCCCCATTAACTAGGATTCTCTGTCATCTTCTCTAGCCCCCACCAAGTCCTCAGAGCAAAACATGTCCACGTTGCGTTCAACTCTTTGCCCTACAAAGCGCTCTGCTTCTCTGAGAATAGGCTGTCCGAGGCATTCTCTAATTATGGTCAACAGGGATCATGGACCAGCGTCTTTCCCTCTCTGCCATCATCATTAACATTAGGAGCTAGCGTAAAGAAGGGTGGATTTTCAAAGCTAACTAAAATGGCTCTGACTATTGGTGATGTTTTCAAATGGGGCTGTAGAACAGCTTGGTTCCTGAATTAAATCTGCAGTCTATGTAGGAGAGACAAAAAGTGCTCTGGACCTGGCAATAAAAAAGTTGGTTATTTCATGCTTTTGTAATTCAAGATTAAAATGAATTCTTTATTTTTCCTAACACCAGAGATCAAAGCTATGAAGAGCTGAACTAAAATATTTCTGGCTCCAATTTAGATGTGTCCTACTTTAGCCTTCCTTGAGTACCTGGAATGTTCCACACATATCAAAAGGTTTTGTTAGGGGAATGGGAGAAAATGCAAGAAAGAAAGCATTGCCTTAAGCCACAGGGCTATTTGTGAGTAACTCATCTGCCTTTTAGAGCTATCACCTTTGTAATAAGAGAGCAGTGGGAGGATTGCCTGTTCAGTGTCATGACAATTTCTTTATTGAATCTTTAACAAATAGCTTATAAACTCTAGCAGGGTATCAGGGACCAACCTAAATAGTGAGATGTAGCAAGTGACAGTCTAGACCAGGTCCCTCCCTGCTCTCATGGAGTTGCCTACTTAATTTAGAGGTGATAAGTGATGATGAAGAAAAATATAAACAAGAAACTATCATATTAGAATAATTTCCATATTTTTCCCCTGAAAGACTAGCTTGTAAATTATGGAGATACAAAGGAAGAAGAGAGATCAGGACACAATACAGGTCAAAACAAAGATTGGGAGGATGTGGGTGCAGGCCAGTGGCTCGAGACTCTCTAGCCTACTGTAGATTCCTGGCTCCTATTTATATCCGATTCTTTCACTGGTTAAAATTCACCAAGATTTCCCATATCCCTATTCCTTACTGATCTGGAAAATATTTTTTTTCTTCGAGATAGATCAAATCATTAATCTTTTCAAAAGACTACCTGCTTTTCCCAGAGTTAGTCTACCCTGCAAAATCAAGCTCATTGCTCCCCAAGTCCAGAATGTGCCACATACCACCTTTACAGCAAGGACCAAACACACCTTGCTCACCTGTAGCACTTAGAACTAGAATCTGAACCTTGAGGGCAGTGCCTACAGTCCATGGGTTCCCTGAGATTAGCCATCTTTTCTTCTACTCCCTTAGCGTTTACTGGAGGATCTGGCACATAGTAAATTTTTAAAAAGCTAAATTTGTCTTTTTGTCTCTTCTATCTGAAACTATCTATAATATCTGAATATGCAAACTACTGCATTTTTGTGGGAATTTGAAGTTTTCTCAGGACAGGGAA